CTTTTATCATTGACTGCATTATCCAGCCGTCCTCTTAGAAGGGTAGTGCTCATTTGATCATTGCTGGATATAGTATTCTAGGGGCGGTCTAACCAATGCTTCATACAGCAATGCTGCCTATTCTCATTTATATTCTTTGAGCAACCCACTGTATCTGAGAATCTTGTTTGCTTTCTCTGCTGAGCCTCTACACTGAGCAGACAGCTTTAGGGATTTTTTTGTAATCACTTATAAATCTCTTCCCTGGTCAGTATTCTGCAACACCTTTCTACTGAGCAGATACTTCCAATTTCTATTACTATTGTACGGTTGGCTTTGTACTCAGTATTTTACAGTGATAATCTGCTGCAGATCTTCCAGAATTACAAAGCCGCCTAAAGGTGATGCACACACTTCGCCCACATCAATTTTCCCCAATGCACTTGGCATCCCATTTAGCTGATAATGAATTACATGGTTTCCCACCAGACGTGTTTAAGTGAGGAAAACAGCATTTTGATAAAAATGTCACTTTCTGGCAAATAATAAAAAGCCCTCCCCCCACCCAACTAAACACACATCTTATTTTTTTAAAATATGGTTTTAAAAAAAAAATCAAGAAAAAATAAGCTAATTTCTACCAATAGTATTATGTTAGGCTCTTCCAAGGGATCTCTGCACCCCATTCCTTCCAGGCTAGGACTGTTGCTGTCCGTTCTGATGAAACCTAAGTAAGGAAATGAGTGGTCTTTGTGGTGAATGCACTACTGCTATCCTCCTTTCTTTTCAACTGAAGAATGTAGAAGAAGCTCAGATGCATTGATGTGGAGGCCTCCCACATGCATGCCCCGTAGGCTCCCTGAGCTGCTGAAGATGCCCAAATGGAGCCAAATGACTGAGCCACCCCTAACTAGCTGTCAGGCATGGGCTGCCACACCCCCAAACTCCTCCCGTCATGACTTTCACATGCCTTCGTTTCTCAACCTACACACCTGAGCAGAGACACCCAGGAGCTGCAGCAGGTCCTGCTGGTCACCCTGCATGAGTCATGCTGAAAGCTGCAGGATATCATGGCCACCCACCTGGACATCATATGGCAGTGACTTGTCACAGCATGCACTCTTATGACCATGACCCACCAGCTGACCATCCTGCACAAAGCCACTCAGCATACCTTGTGCCCACAAAAAACTTTGATGGCAAATATTAAGGACTCAACTCAGCCACCCTTAGTTTACACCCTTGTAAAATGGAGGACTTTATCAAGGCATTAAGGCAATTTAGGCACTTGTGTACATGTGGACGCACTAATGCACATTAAAGCACATTAAATTTAGGTGTGTATAGCTAAGTTGTATTAGTACGCATGGAGACATGCTGATGCACATTAGCACAATGTGTGTCTGTTGTTGCACACTGTGTTAATACACATTAATGAATCAATGTGTGTGCTAATGCAACTTAGCTATTCGCACCTAAATGTTTTGCCTTATGCAGGTGTCAAATTTAGGCCTACATAGCTTTAAATTGCCATTCTAGGGCGCATTAAGGGCATGCATGTATAGACAGGCACCTTAAAAACGGTGATTTTACGCTAAACCCACTTAAAAGAGGCATGTGTAGATGTGCCCACTATGTCCCAAAGGGTTTCTGTGGGATAGCTGAGTGGCTCTAAGAAATGAACACTACATTAAGGCTAGCAAGTCCATTGGATACTATTATTCATATAGCCAGGAAAAGCAACTACTCTAAAATGGTAACTAATAAAACAAACAGTGTGGGAGTTTGGCCAAAAAAAAGAGTTCCCTGAGCTAGCTGGCCTATGTATCTATCTATGGGACCCCCAGTAGCATACCTCAAACTCTGAAACAGACTGTCTGAAACAGCTTTCTATCAAGTGCACATGATTACTCAAGTGACCAGAATTATTATAAATTGGCTTTAAGATATGAGAACAGAGAAACACCCTCTGCTTCTTTATGGACTATTGAATGCATCCAAGGTTTCAGGACTTTGAGTCTATGAGCTGGATTCAGGGGTTTCTGATCCTGCATCATGTATGGAGCACAGGCAGTGTAAGTGCTTCTCTCAGTCTACATTTTACACATACATTCGGTTGCCCCAGATGAGTTGGGAAATAGTGATGCTGCATATTAGTATGTGTAGGTGTGCTTTTGTACATAGTGGGCATGTTCCAGTATATTTTTATAGTAATAGGAGTTGGCATTCCTGTCTATACCAGGGACTCTGTAACAGCATTTGAAAAGCACAGTACAGTTTGACAGTGTTACAGAATTATTAAGTACCTTGGTAGAGGCTAGGTTTTGAATCATAGAACCATAGAACCAGAAGGGACCTGTAAGATCTTCAAGTCTGGTCTCCTGCCATGGGCAGGAAGTCATTGGGCTCAGATGAGCTTGACAAGGTGCCTGTCCAGCTTCCTCTTGAACACCTCCAAGGATCTTGACTGCACCACCTGTGCTCTGGAGTGTGTTCCAGATTCTGGGAACCATTGCAGAGAAAAAAAATGTTCTTATGTATAGCCTGAATTTATGCTCTATTAGTTTATGCCAGGAGCGGGCAAAATCCAGCCTACGAGGCCATTCTATCCAGCCCATGGAGCCCCTAAAAAAAGGTAGAAAATTAATGTTTCTCTGCCCAGGAGAAGCCCGGCGGGCTCCAACAACAGCAGGGCTCACTTGGCCCCACCCCTCAGCCAGAAACCCCAGCTGGGTTTTCTGGGCTGGGAGCACATGGCTGCCCCGGTGCAGGAAGCTCAAGTAAGGGGGGGGGACCCTGGGCAAGGAAGGAGTGGAGGGCAGAGAAGCAGCCCCCCCACGCCCGGTGCCTCACACTGCAGCTGCTTGCAGCCTGCATGGGGATGCCTGTGCCAGCTCTGGACAGCCCCATGTGGGCTGTGAGTGCCTGCAGTGTAGGGCACCAGGGATGGGGCGGGGCAGGGCAGGGGCTGCTTCCCCCCCTGTGCTCAGCTTTCCCTGGGTTCCTTCCCTGCATGAAGAAAAGCAACACTTCACCTGCCCCGTGGCTGGTGCTCCCTGCTGCAGGCACTCGCAGCCTAAGCGGGTGTGTCTGGAGCAGCCACAGGCAGCCCCAGATGGGCTGTGAGTGGCTGCAGTGTGGGGCACTGGGCATGGGGCAGGGAGGGACTGCTTTCTCCCCCACCCCCCACACTCAGCACCACATTGTAACCCAGCCTTGCTGCTAGGCTGACAATGGGGTGGGTTACAAGCTGGTGCTGAGCGTGAGGAAAAGTGGCCCTTCACCTGCCCCATAGTCAGTGCCCCACGGTGCAGCCACCTGCAGCCCTCATGAGGCTGCCTGTGGCTGCTCCAGACAGCCCCGCATGGGCTGTGAGTGCCTGCAGCAGAGAGCACCGGCCATGGGGCAGGCGAGGGGCCACTTTTCCCCACGCACAGCACCAGCTTCTTCTCTGCTGGCGAGCAGGGGGTTGGGGCTGTGCACTGCCCCCACCTGTATCGCGGGGCTGGGGGGCACTGGGTGTGAGTGGGCAGGGAGCCAGCGAGAGCATGGGGCCCACACCTGTGTCCCAGGGCCAGTGCTGGTGGGGCCCTGAACAGAGTGGCAGGAACGCGGGGTCCCAGCTGGCAGAGGCTCTATGGAGCCGGGCCAGCTCCCCCCTCCCTGCCAGTGCAGCCCAGCCTGGCTCCGCAGACCCCTGTCAGCCTGTGCCCCACTCCGGGCCCCACCAGTGCTGGCCTTGGGACATTGGTCCCAAGATGGTGAGCAGGGGGCAGGGCACCTGTCAAGGGGTGGGGCTACCCATGCAACCCTCGACAGTCTGCCAAAACTGGGTAAGCGGCCCTCTGCCCAAAATAATTGCCCCGCCCCTGGTTTATGCCCATTGGTTCTTGTCATCCCTTGAGGTGCCTTCCAAAAGAGATGCTTCCCCTGACACACTTGTAGGCAGCTATCAAGTCACCTCTCAGCCTTCTCTTACTCAAACTGAAGAGGACATCATCAAACTTAACTTGGTGCCATTCTGAACTGTGTTAAACAGCCAGGAATTAAATACGATTTTAGGTCAAAAGCCTCAGGTCCATTAGGGAACTTGCCCATTGCCAAAAATCAGTGCAGATGAATCAGTTCCTAAGACAGGTTAACTGTAAGCAGAGGCAAAATAATAGCTGAACCACATTCAGCACTTGCTTGACTGTACCCATGACAATATTCAATAAGCAAAATTCGGCAAGAAACAGTTTTCTTTCTGTGCATGGATCTGTTGTAACTGGAGGGGGTGGAGGTAAGCCCAAAGGAGAAAATGGTCAAAGCCAAACATTGGGCAAGAGCAATAACCATCCTGGCTAAGACCGCATCCACCTGGTAAATCAGCAAGGCCTGATGGAAAGAAAGGACGTGGGCCTGGGGACAGATGTTTACTGACTCTTGTTAGTGAGGCGGGGCTGGCCCAGTTTTCAGGCAGACCAGACCAGCTCTGTAATGCCTGTACCTGGCCTATGACAAGACATAGAAAAGCCACATTTGTTTCAGCAGATAGATCCCAAAGTTTCGCTTTGTGCAAAGCCATGATAAAACCGAAATGCACAGGTATAATCTTCTCATGTTTTCCTTTTATACATTTTTATTGTAGTTAAATCACCGAATTCTAACCTCAGTAACTTTCCCTGCTTTGTTCATTTTGACATGGCAACAGTGACATCTGGAATGCTGTTATATCCCTGTAGCTCTGATGTTTTTATTTCATATGAAAAAAACTAAATAAAATGAAGGAAGCCCTGTTTGAAAAGGCAACTTGCCTGGGTCAAGAGCACTAGAAGTAGCACTCCAGCATTGACAGACAGCTTTGCTGTGGTTTTCAGAAAGAAATATGTCAGTCATTCCTCAGATGACAGCTGACAGAGTGGATTATGAATTCCTGGTTGATATCTTCCCACACAAAAGAAGGCTTTTAAAACCAAAGAGGGAAATTGCCAACATGAAGCAGCACCGACAGTAATGAACAGGCCGCGTAACACAAGAAGACTGCTGGAAGAAATTCTATTTGCTCTTCATGAACAGCTATGACGCGCGTTCAGCATTGCCAGAAAGTAGAAAGTAGTAGACAAGGTGTGCAACCCAGACTTCCCCATGTACCCTTCCAACAAGTCTCACTCGAGCTGCAGGTCTGCACTCCCAAAATAACGATTAGAGATCACATAAACTGTTCGACAGCAGAGAGGCTGCCAGAATCCTTTATTGCTGGTCTTCATAGAAAAAGGCTGATTTAGCAGGTGTTAACTGTCTCTGCTCATTGACATTCAATGTAAGAGCCCCAAAGTATCTTCGGGATCATAATGTGCCGCTGTCTTTAGATGTCTTCTGTAGTTCGCAGTTTGGTGCAAGTGGAATCCCTCCTTAGAGAAAGCTTGCTGGATGACTCCTTCATGAAGATGAAGGGGAAGATTTACCATGTTTGGCTACAGTTGCACACATCAAATCATGTATTCTTGACAAAGGCTTATCTACCTAAGAAGGTTTAACTTGTTATATTAATATAATAATATCAGGACAGTTGAAATGATGTAATTCATACCATTATATTACTCCCCATTGGGCTCCCTTTTCCTGGAATAATAGTAGCTTTTTTAAAAGCTTAAAATCCTTCCATAGTCTCAAAAACTAACCTAAAAAGAAACATACTATTGTACCGCCCGCAATTACATTGTCCACAAAGGAACCTATACTGTAAGTGTTATATTGCTTTAGATTCATAGCTTAATTCATACTCATTTAACATGCACTTGTAGACAAGTTGGAAGCTAATTGTTCAAGTACACATGATCATGTCCTCCCAACTATGTTTAACCTACGTAACTAAGTAAGTTAAATGCACACCATTCTGCATGGACAAATGCATGTAAATACATTAATACAGCTGCGTGCCCCTCACCATGGAAGCATGAGGTGCAGGATACAGCAAGGCCCCTCGATTCATTTCCAGATCCCATGTTAGCAACCACTAAAAAAAGTTTTATCTTTTTCTGAAGTTTGACAAAAAATATTTTTGCAATACATTTTACAACTTGCAAAACACTTGCTGTTTTCCAATTAGCTGGCACAGCTGTCAACACTGACCATTTTCCAAAAGGTTTGAGAAAAGTTTTCTTTATTTTTCAACTATCTTTATGTAGAATAAATGGTGACTCTTCATGTTGTCATATGCCTCGTTTCAAGACGACCATATAACTCAACCAGTCTAAAATAAAAGAGCTTATATTCAAGGCTGTTCTCACTCAATTTTACTGTGAGAGTATTCATATTATGACTTTCATTTTATGTAGATTATGCATGCTACACCCAATGTTAATGAGCATAGTGCATCATGAAAATAGCAAGCATAGGCTTACTTCAGTTTTGGCTACGTCTATGGAGTGGGAATATCTGAGGTATGTTCACTATCAGCCACAAATTCAGTATAGATCCCAATGCAGACTGGTCTTATTGGGTTTAACCATGGTTTTTCTTTTACTAAGGCTGAAATCAGAAAGCAAAAATGCTAATATGTTTCTTTGGCAGAAAATCAAGTGGAAAATGGTCAGCTGACACAACATCTGGGAGAGAAAGCAGAACTTAGGCAGGCAGTGTTTCTCTAGCATTTAGGCTGCTGGCAGACGTGAAAAAAATGCGTTTTATTGGAAGAAGCAGTGTGTTAGTTCGACCCGGCTCTGCAGCATCTGTAGAGATGGCATGCTTGAGTGGGGTTTTTTGGAGCTTCTATCTAAAGCTGATTGAATCAACTATTAGATAAAAGCACCAAAAAAACCCGATCTATACAGACATTGGGCAAATGGGTCAAACTAACACGATGCCTTTTCTAGGCATGTGCTGCACTTGGCAAAGAGGGGTGCCAAGTTTAAAACAAAGCACCATTTTTTGGGGGGGGTAACATCTGTAAGCAGCCTTAATGCTATGGAGAAGCTTGAAACCTAAAATATATGTAATTGGGTCTTGATTGTTCTTACCTTCTACTCTAGTTGCTTTTTAAGCAATGAATAACTACTTCCTTTTGAAGATGCTTGCAAATGAATTCAGTTAAAGCCTCCCACAGGAAACTCTCACAGGCGCCAAATCAAGTCGGCCCTGCACTGCTCAAATGCTGTAGCCCAGAAGACACGTTGTCCACTGGCTGGGCCTTGTGGTTCCACTCGCATAAAAATTCAGGAAACTAGGCTGGTGGTCTAAGGGTCAGGTCCACTTATGAGGAATATGAGGTGTGCCAAATAGTTGTGACAACTATATTGCAATGGACTGAGCCTGTTTTTCAGCACCTTGAGAGACGCAAGCTGTATGTCTTAACCCTTCTCAATCAATGAGTAACCTTATAAACTGAGATGTTTGTCTTTGTCCCAAACATTACTGTATTCCCAGAGTGAGAAGGGTCCAGACCTAGAAACACCGTGAAGTGTTCAAAGATAGTTCCCCACCTAGAGGTTATTTCTTCTTATCTACAGGTGTAGAACTAAAGAAAAATGAACCAAGTATACAGCCTAGCAAACCATGGCATTGCTGCAGCAGCACAGAAGAAAGGATAAACCTTTACTCATAGTTTTCCTCCTTCTTTACATGCCCTTCTCTTATTTTTTTTTCTCCATGATTCATAGTAATTGACATAACAGCTATCTTTATGTTTGTGGGTAAGCAAAAGATTAAATTTAATTAAAAAACACAAACCAACTTTAATGTGCTAGAGATACAATCGTGACACATTTTCAAAGGAAAACTGATTGGAAGTTACAATAGCATTGAAAGAATATGTTTGATTTAGTCTCCTTCAGAGATTTTCCAAAGTGACAGCCAGACGGTGCATTGCACTTCGAAGCTGTTAAGCAGTGACACAGCTAATATTTATTGTTTTAAAACAACATCAATATTACTTTGATTGGGCTATTTGTTTTTAAGGCTGGTGTCATTTAGATTTTGATTGGCTGGTGAATCATGGCTTTATTATTGGCCTGTGTATTCTTATGGAGCCGATAAAAATGTTTTGGTTGGTTACAAGTTTCAGGATCTTCCAAGAAGCCTTGCAGCACTATTTTATGTGCTGTTTATTGCCATTCATTTTCCTGGATGTCAAGCTGTGGAAAGCTTGTGCAGAGAATAGGAAATATTTGGTGCAGGAAGAAAAGCAGATGCGTGTGTGTGTGCGTGCGTGTGTGTGCGTGTGTGTGTGTGTGTCTCAACTTTATTCTGTAGTCTGCACTTACAAATCTGCACTCCAACTTCTCACTTGCATCTTTGCAGGTGAAAATAATTGTGGCCAAAAATGATTGCATTCAGCTCTCCCCCTGACTGCACATGCAAAATTGGGCCTGTAATTATTTGCAGGTGCTAATTTGAGAACAAAAAATTGGCCTCCCCACTTCAGGCTTTTTTAAAGCTTTGGAGCATATCCTCTTGGTGTAACACTGTTAGTGTAAATTGCTACATCAAGAGATTGGCTCAAATTTCTACCACAGAATTTAGCCTTTAAGCTTCATTATCAGTTGTCTCTATTATAAAGTACAGGTTTGCATAAAAATCTTTCCTTTTTCATGGAAACAGGGGAGGCTATTTAGATTTATTTATTTTTAATTCCTTTCAAATGGCTTTGGGAGATTAAATGTTTCCCTTGTCATCATCTTCACATGGCTGAAATCAGGATACAGTTTAAAGCTCTCTTTGCTGCTCCAATCTACTGACTTGTAGATCTGGAGGTTCTCCAGATTCTGGGAAATTATGAGTTTTTAATTTAGTTTCTTAGCATTTTCTTCTATAGCTTTTTTGAATAACTTGGTATATTTTACATGAAAAAGATTTGTGAACTATTGCATACTGGGCTTGCTTTGTAGTTTTGGTTAGTGTTGCTTGTTTGTGGTTTTGTGTTTTAGACTTAAACTATTTTATGTGCTTGGTACAGCACATGGTTTTGATGCACAGGCACATGGGAACTTATTTGAGACATGAAATAATAGTTCTGGAGAAAATCCTGTCATTTAATAACTGTATTTTATATGTTTTCTAAACAACTACTTGGGATGGGTGCTGGCCAAAATAATGAATGCAAGAAATGAGAAATCTTTTCTACCCTGAAGCCCCAGAGCGGGAACAAATCTGGTCTGTAACTAATATTCAGTATGCACGATATGATCTTACCACGGCCCTCTTTCTCCCCCCCTCCCCTATACACAGACACAGAAGGAAAAAGTAGGGGGGATCTGACCCATGGCAGACCATAAAGTTGTTCTTCAAAAGCCATATACCATAGTATTTCTTCAGCTCTCAACAAAATCTGTAGAAGAACCTGACTTTATTGCACAGCGTCTTCCAAAATGTCTACTATTCAATGAATCAAATTAACAAAAAAGAGCCCAGGCTTTTTTACCTGGATAATATATGCCCACCGTGTTTGAAGCCACTATTAAATGGCAGGTACAAATCAGTAGATTATAGGAGCAAATATTTGGTGCAAATACTTCATTTTGCTAGCACGATGTCTGGGAGAGTAAAGACTTCTCCATAGCTTTTTTTCATTTAAAATATGTATCTAACTGGGGGCACACAGGGCACTGACAGACATGCAGTTCCCCACTGTAACTCCTAGTGCTTTACTGGAAGTGCCATGAGTTACAGCGATGCCCCCAGCCCAACAGACATTATCTAGTAGGGGGTTTGCCCAGCCTGTGCTGGAGGGAGGGCAGGTGGATTGGTGCCCCCAGCTCGGGTGGGAGAGGCTCCAGCACTGGGATGCTGGAGGGGCTCCCTTCTCTTCCCCCGCATCCCATCATGAAGACAAAACCAGGGATAGGGCTGACCTGTTTCAGCCCAGCCCTACTCCCTGCCTGCACTGACAGAAGTTAATAAAAGTGCTCTGCTTTAGAGCACCTTCATCTGAACCCTCATATAATGAGGGTGCATTTCTTCCTTTTTGAAGAGCTGTGCAGCCATGCATTTCTGTCACGGCACAGCTGTAGAGTGCTTTCAGGTGGCTGATCATGTGACAAAACATCACTTTTGTTAGCGCCCACAGATGCATCCCCAAGCTGATAGCAGAACAACCATGACAGCACACAAGCTGAGTACCAGTGAATGAAAAAGGGTAACAAAACAAACTTAAATAGGAAGCTACCTGGTTTGCATGTGTAATAATGGGAATGACATGTGAAAATGTACTTGGACAATGTTCACAAAGTTTCTGAAGAGTGTGCACTTTTCCTAAGTCTCTTCTTGGAGAGTGTCTGGCTCAGTTCAGGCACTTCTTTAAAATGAATAAGTTCAGATAATATTTGCCAGTGGGCTTTTGCCATAAATTCTGTTTTTATGAACTTGATCTGACCTATGAGGGCTGATGCACTGCAACTAGAATCACAAGGACCGGGTTAATTAACTTGTGCATGCCAAGTTAGAGTTGTTATATCAGTGGAAGTGAAAATCTAAGCATTCTTATTTTCTATTATTTATATCTTAAGAGACCACAGAAAACTATACTTGTAAGAATGAAACGCTAAAAACATTTTTTTTTACTGGAATTGCTTAACACAGTCGAAAAATCTGGCTCCACATCATGACTTTTAAACTAGGATAGTATTTTTATTTTCATTACCAATTTGTCACTTTTTAATAACATGGTCAACCTAGTAAAAAGTGTGTAATAGCGTCCAAAACGTGTGCTCTAAATGATTTGCTAGTCTAATTTCTATGTTTATTTTTATATCGGGGCAGTCCAATAGATTTCCAAAATGAAAGCTGTGAAGCTAGGTTTATGAGAGTGGCATTATAGAACAATGCCACTTAAAATTAGAGTACTCCATTTAATGTTAGATTGTCTTCTTTTGGCATTGCAGTACATCAAGTGCACTCTCAGGCTCAAACATATCCAGGACATAATGTAAAGTGTCAACCCCACTATGCTTTCTTTTCTATTGCTCTACTATGGGTTCAGTGAAGATCAAGATGGGTAAAATTATTGCAGTCTGACAGCTGTAAAAGGTCACCAAGTAAAATTAATTCACGTTACTTCCAGTGCATCATAATATATGGGAAAGAAATTAACAGGCCTCTCAAACACAGCAGAAACGAGCCATTCCAGACCATGGAGATTTGTGAAGACAGTAACTGTGGAGAGGTCAGCATCGTCGCAGTTGTTCAGAAGAAGAGGCGGCTGAATGGTAGCTGGACAGAATGTGTGTTATTTATTGTGACAAACCTTCAGGGTCTTCGTTTCCCTGTGAAATTAGTTTAATCTGGTCTATTATCAACAAACATTTCCAAACGAGCTTCTTTGATTGGGAGCTTACTTTTTATTATAGCTCACTGCAGAAAGCTGGTACAGACATCTCATATCTCTGAACATAGAAAGGGTAGGTGATTTTCTTATTGTTAGCTGTTTAGTTAGAATAGCTACCATGTAGCTGATATCTGCAAATCCCCTTATAAATGAAATGTTCTTCTGAGAGTGGGATTATCAGAGACTGAAAGAAATGAATGAAAAGAATACACAATAAAACCCCCCAAACAGACCAAATCCTTTCCTAACTTCTTTTTTTCTGTCTTTTCCCAACATGCCAACTTTGTCACGGTAAATAACATATTCCCTGATTAGCTCACACTTAAATACGCCTTAACAATGCTAAATATTTAGGAAAGAGAAAACTCAGCAAAGTCCATTCATACTAACTCTGGAGCTCCAAGAGGATGAAGCACCACAGCCTCTCTGCCTCAGTTTCTCCAGAGGTATCTGCTGGCCACTGCAGTGGCCTATGACTCAGTCCTCCAGGCAGATGTTCAACTGCTGCGGCTCCAGAGTTAAGTAACAGTCCCCCAAACAAGCACAAGATCACACTCAGCCCTTCTGATGCTATTAGTTGTCCATATGCCCTTAGAGCTAAGCTCTCTAACCTACTCTTCTCTCAGAGGGGTCACCGTCTTCCACGTCATTAGATAACAACCATCATTAAGCCCTGAATAGGTCAGCCCCAGACCTGCCTTTGGATCACCCACACTCTTCTGCTTTTGTTTTCAGTCAGATTTCTCTCCAATGGCAAAAATATTTGCCTGCTCTCGGCCACTTGGAAGACACAAGCTTTGTGTAGTAAAAATATCTTTTAACATTTTGTAGTGGTCCCATCTCAAGTTTTTTCGCTCTTTCCATAGTCCTAATACCTACTACCGGGGCAGCAAGTAGGGCTGACTGTGCATGCCATAGTTCAGTAACTCATTTCAGCTCTTGTAGGGTTTGTATACCACACCACAGAATAATAATTCACCTATCAATACCCTTTGTGCAGGCCTACTTGTTATCCATAGTGATCAAAAAAGCAATGGAGAAGCAAAATGTAAGCAAAACATGCTCTTTTCTCCAACTAGTAATTGCGATCCAGGTTCTCAAAATGTAACGTGCTGTCATAAGGTCATTAGAAGGCAAGCTAGTGAGGATGTGTGGGTCTGAAGACCATGGAGCATGGTGATTTTCTCCCCATACACCAGAATTAAAGAAACATCTGCATGAAATAATGTTGTGCTGAATCACTGTGCAAACCAACAGAGTGTTTAATAGCCCTGAAAACATCTTGTTTTGTTTTCGGGCACGGGGTGTCTTACCGACTGCCCCTCGGGCAGCTGCTTCCATTGCACAAAGCACAATGCACGCAGGCTTGGGATTGAGGCTTCCAAAGGCAGCTCAATGACAGGAACTTTAACAACAGGCATTTCACCTGCAGGTTCATTTTTCCTTTCTTTGTGCCTCGGGAGATTGCTCTACAAGGGGAGGATTACATTCGTGCAACAGCATTATGCAAATGATGCTACTATTTGCCACATCACAGGTATAGGAGTGACAGGGATTTTTTAAATCAATAAATTCAGCAGGCAACTCATTTATATACTGCTGTTCATAAACTTGGCCAGTTCCCTCTTGAAATTGCTCCGCTTGTTTGCCCCCATTGCTCCAACTGTTACTGTTACTCAGTTTTCCAATAGTCAGAAACCTTATTCTAATAGCTAGATTAAATTTACCGCTGGCCAGTTACTAACCATTTGTTCTTGTATCAACAGTTCTTTTCTTCCACTTAAATACTTCTTCCCTCTCCTGGTGTTTACTCCCCTGATGGATTTATAGAGAGCAATCATATCCCCTCAGAGCCTTCATTTTGCTAGGCTAAACGAGCCACGGCCTTCTAGTAAAATAAAAAGCCCTCACCTCATAAAATATGTTCTCCATTCCCCTTCTCTGTACCCGTTCCAGTTTAAATTCACCTTCCTTGGACAAGGGTGATCAGAGCTGTACATGGTTTTCCAGAAGAGGGCTCACCAGTGTTTTTACAATGGCATTAATACTTCATTTTCTCTCCTGGAAATACATCAACTCATGCACTGTTTTTCAGGACAGCATCCTACTGGTGATTTGCAGTCATCCTGGGCTTTCTTTTTTTCTGCGATTCCCCAGTGATGATGGTGAAGACCCCCATGGTGAAGACAATGATTGGAACTTTTCTGATGACGCAAAGTTTTTCCTAGAAATATGTTAGCTTTTTTGCAACAAATTTCTGCTAAATCCAAGGCATATTCTGACACAATCCTTCCTGGATTCCTAGGTTCAGGAATACTGGAAGCTTTCAGTCCTCTGCCCCATGGCAGATATAGCTCGCTAAATCTATCTCAAGGCCAAAGGCCCAAAGAGCTGTAGGTCTGCTTATCTAATCATTTGCCAAGTGCTATCATGTGAAATGTTTCAGTGAAGTCCAGATTAGTTGAGTCTACTACATTTCTTTTGTCTAAAAATCCACTTCTCTTATACCAGAAAGAGATCAGATCAGTCGAGCATGATCTATCCCATATCGATATCCAAATTCACCCTGTGGCAAATCTATTGCAGACTCCCAGCTTAACCCCTCTAGCAGTCTTCCTTCCCCTGTGTTGATTTGGACCTGCGCTGATGCCGTTTCCTTCGTGCCATGCCTTCCTTCTTTACAATCTATTGAATCATTGATGAGTATGACTCCACAGCTGTCTTCCCAGACACCCCTCCTCCCCCTTTCCTGCTTTTTCTCACATGACATAGCACTCAGCAACTGAAATTATGTCAAGTGTCCCCCTCCTCTTCCATAACCTTTTGTAGGCAGATCTGCCAGATTTTGCCCCATTATAGCAAGGAGGATAACACTGTGGCTCTTAGGTGCTGTAATTGGCCAGGGACAGAAATTACACAGAAACTAGTAAAAGTAATTGTAAACCAGTTGCAATCTGCAACACACCAGAAGTTCAGTGCACATAAACTGCTTTCAAAGTGGCCAAAACCAGTTTAAGATAAGCCTGGATGTATGTAGTATCAGACTTAACTGATTTAGGTTAAATTGGTTTATTGAACTTCTGTCCCAGATCCCTTCCAGATTCAAGTTAACTCACAGTCCCACAGCATCCCAGGATGCTTTGCATCTCCCCTGCAAACCCCGCCTTGCAGGGTGGGCAGGCTAGCCTGGCCCAAGCTGTCTGCTGTAGCCCAGCAGAGAGGCATGCTCTAGCATTCCCTGGCTTCTGGCCTGCGCCACCGCAGGCATGAGGCTGTATTTCCAGA